TGCACTATTATAATTCTCTTCACATATCATAAACAAATCCATCACTATTGGCTTCGATATATTTCCTCCTTTCACATCTTTTCTACAACGCCACTTTCTCAGAACTTATAACAATCAAAAGCCAATTAGAAGCATACTGAAATTAGATATAAGCGTAATTATCACTCTCATCCTCGAGAAAAGTATGATTCAGAATTGAATTGTATTTTCATTTTTACGATCTAGCAAGGAAATCAGCAGCTCACAAACAAGTTCGGAACAATGAAGATAATTCCTATTTTTTTAAAACTTTTTTGTACAGTCTAGTATCTTTATTCTAATGTTTTGTTCTACACAGTGACTGGACCAATATTAATATCATCTTCTGCTGTTCTTTCTTTACACTTTCCTCTTTATCCGCTTTCTACTGTTATTTCCCGTGCTCACCTCTTTCTATCTTTCTCTCTCCTATATAAGCGCGTGTTATATTGTGAAGTAAAAACATTCTGGAAATATGAAGTAGCTCAGTAAACATCATTACCAAGGATAGCAGTAAGCTGCTCATCCAGTATGTCGTTACGGTGACCTTTCACAACAAGTTGTTCAAAGAAGTAGATAACGTACACAATAATGAAACGACGAGCTGTATCAATTTTGGAGCATAGCCTATTTAAAAAAATTTTTAGACATAAAAGTGCTCATATAAAACTAATTTTTATTTACAGAGTAGGAAGTAATATTTTTTCAGGAGAGTAGTGCTATGATTTCAAATAGTATAAATAATCAATTTTTATCAAATTATAGCTGATTGAAAATGGGATCTATCAGTATTACAAAACAAGGCGAGTGTAGATGTGGGTCATTGAAGATGATCCCATCCACATTCTCAAAGGTGCATTGTCCATGGACATGGTGTAGAGTTGACGTTTGCGTATGAATAATGTTTCAATGGGTGTGGGTGTGGGTGTGGTTGTATGTCTACTCTGCTCCTACACCCACATCTCACAAGTTTGCTTGCTCTGAACAGTAATCAAGATTTAAGATAAATATTGAATGTAGAGATTACTAATGAAATTGGATGTGTTGTTTGAATAGATCAATTATTTGCAACTTTTTTTTGAATTTTACAATAATTTGTAAGAACATATTTTAAAATAAAAGATTTAGTCAACAACAAAAAGCCGTTTTTTTCTCATTCGGTGATCATGTATTCAATGAAGAATAAGATGATGTTTGACATATCTGTTTTATTTTACACGTCGTAAGCGATATTGATTTGTTTTTTAAACTTTATTTTCTATTCACCGGCTTGTTTATTATATATTTATAAATCCCAAATATTATACAAAAGCAACCCAATTCCCCTGAAAAGAAAAACGACATGTCTTATTTTTTGCCACCAGTAATTCGCCGTTGTGGTGATTTATCATTTCGAGTACCAATAGTCAATTTAGCATTGGCATCATAAGGACTAGGTCCTTGACGAATACCACGTGAAAGACGTTGCTAAAAGAAACAATAAAACGTTAAAAATCGAAAATAACATTTATAATTTACTCGTTCTTGATAACGACGTTCATAATAATCCAATTCTGATTCACCAGGACGACGTAATTGTGATTGTGCTTCGGCACCTTTTAGAAAAATTAAATTAAATAATAAAAACTTTTGTAAAAAAAAAAAATCATATTCACTATTAGGATCATGAGATGCATGTGCACGAAGAATTGGATGATCCATAGCAGTTATTGGTTGATTCAGAAAATCATCATCAGGTCGACCTATAATATATAATAATTATTCAATTTAAAAAAGAATTTTCTCGAACCTCGTCCACTAGGATCAAGTCTTAAATATCCTTCAGCTAATGAACTAAATCCTGTTAAACCACCCATTGCTTTATATGGTGTTGCATAACCAGTTGGATGACCACGTTTTTCTCTTTCTTCTTTTGTTTCAACTAATGTTATATGATTATAAGCTGGTTCACCACATGAACATGTAAATGGAGCTGAAAATCCAGTACAATTACAATCTATGAGAAAAATTGAAGGTCAAAGTTTTGTTTTGGGTTTGAAAAACAAAAAAAAAATGGATACTTTTTTGACATTTATATGGTGATCGTGTTGCATGATGTTCAAGTGAATGTTTACAACGACAATTCGGATCACTTGTACCTGATGTATTAGCAACATATTCAAAGGAAACACAACGACAACCATGTTGACGACATGAAATAAGAATTGGTCGTTCAGTACGAATTTCAACGAAATCAGTTTTATGTTCAGAATATCTTGATTAACGAAAAAAAAACAAAGATTTTCATAAACTTTTCATTTATATTAAATTTTACTTATGTCGACAAAGACATTTATGTTGTGGTCCAACAAGAATACAATCCATCCCGTGAGGATTTACCCATGATACATATAATCGATTGTGTAGACGCTTAAAATATTAAAAATATATAAATAAACTTAAGATATTAAAGTTGATCACATTTATCTAAGTTCTTCATTTAGTTCCATATGACAGATATATATATAAATCTAATGAAATCGATCGCAAACATGGAATGGCAAAGTTGACACATATTTAGATTTAGAAAACACTTTTTAATGAGTAAAAATGTTAGTAGGACAACCTATTTTGCTCTTTCATAATATCGATTTCTGTTTTTTTTTGAAATAGTGTCCCGCAAAGCGATCTAGCAATTAATGAGATCTCAACGTTTCAAACTACTAATTTATATAAAAGCATAGGAGTAAAAATTGGTTCAATCATGATTGAACAATTTATTGTACTTAAGAACTGATTATAGAAGTGTGCTATGACTTTGAAAGTAACAGTCGTATTCGTGCAAAACAACATTATTTTTTGAGTTTGACATGATAGTTTAGATGATTAGATAATTAAACGTTAAATATGTATCTTAATCTATTCAATTTGAAAAAAAATAATCATAACCATATAAAAATTCTTTCTTTAATTATACAGAAAAAAAAAATAACTCATCTATATTCATTCTTAAATAAATATTTATTCAATTTCAAGTTTTTTGATATTGCAAAAAAAAAAAAATCCTGCGAATTAAATTCGTACCATTGGTAAAACTCGTCTTTTATATTCTTCATATTCTTCTGGTGTAAATAATTTTCCACCATCATCATCACCAACAATACTAATAAATAGAAATATTGATAGATAATTAATTATTATATTGAATACATACGCTTGATATTCAAAATAAGCATCAACATGTGCTGCTGCATTCGATGGTAAACTAATATATTCACCTGGTGCACGTCCACGACCTCTTCCTGCCATAATTTTTTTCTATATGTGACTGATCAAACATACATAACGTATATCAATCACTTGAGCGTTGCTTAGAAACCAATAAATAGATGTCACTGTGAAATAAATTTATTTCTCATACTAAATCTTTATATATTTTTAAAATTTTTGCATTTGAATTTATACAAAATGACTATTGTTTTTTTCTATATAAAATAATTTTAACTTTCGTTTCATATAAGTCTACCAATCCGTATTGTGTTGTTTCTAGTTGAAAATCGATCGTTATTATTTTTTTTGCTTTGTTTTTAAACGAAGAAACTTTAAAAAAAAAAGATGAAATCTCAAGCTTTACTTCGTCAATGTTATTCAACTGTTCGTCAAAATTCAGCTATTTGTACAACATATCAGGTATTCATGAAGATAAATAATATACTAGAAAATATTTATTTATTTATTTATTTTCATTTCAAGTCACGACGTTGGATTAGTTTACATGAATATCAAAGCAAAAAAATTCTTCATGATAATAATCTTAATGTTCAACGTTTTCAAGTTGTTGAAAATCATCAAGATGCTAAACGTGCTGGAGAAGAATTAAGTAGGAATTTATTATTTATAAACAAAAAAAAAAAAAATAAAATTTTTTTTTTTCAGTGAAAACAATTGCTAAAGAATTAGTTATTAAAGCACAAATTTTAGCTGGTGGTCGTGGTAAAGGTACATTTGATAGTGGATTAAAAGGTGGTGTTAAACTTACAAAAGAGTAAATTTCTTTTTTGTTTTCATCGTTTTTAAAGATATTCAATTCTTTTGCTCTTAACTTTTTTTTTTAGTCCAGTTGAATGTGGAAATATTGTAAAACAAATGATTAAACATCGTCTTGTTACAAAACAAACACCACCAGAAGGTGTTGAAGTACAAAAGGTTGTTTGGATATAAACTTGAAAATTTAAATATTTTTAATTTTTGTGCTTCTTAGGTTATGGTTGCTGAAGCATTAGATATTGAACGTGAAACATATTTAGCTATTTTACTTGATCGTGCCTATGGTGGAGCTGTATTAATGGGTTCACCAATGGGTGGTGTTGATATTGAAGAAGTAGCAGAAAAACATCCGAATCAAATTTTTACTGTAGAAATTATTAATTTCGATTTAATATTTAATTGAGAAAATTATTTTTTGTTTTTTAGATAGCTATTGATCCAATGATTGGTATGAAAAAAGAACAAGCTTTAGATATGGCAAAAAAACTTGGATTTAAAAATAAATTAGCTGATGAAGTTTGTTTTCTAATTTTATTTTATTTTTTTCTATTTAAAAATATAAGAAGTTTTTGTTTTTAGGCAGCAGATCAAATTCTTAAATTATATAAATTATTTTTAAAATATGATTGTACACAAATAGGTAAAAGTTTTAATTATAGTTCAATATTCATTATTTTGCTTTGTTTTTTTTTTGTGAAATACAAATCAAAAAAGAAATGTGAAATTATAAGAGTAGTCGAAAGAAAATATGAATTTTTAATCATGGAGAAGATAAAAACTAAAATAATAAGAATTATTATCATTTTTTTTCAACAAAGTTAACTATTGATATAAGTAATAAAATTGTTTAATTAGATTTTGAATATCGATGATGAAAGACACTGGATTGCTATCTTAACGTTACCTCTTAGAAGATTTCAGCTCAATTTTTAATGCTGAACACAATTCTGATATTAGATTTTTTATTTTGAATAGACCGTGCTTTTCCTGATCGATATTAAAAATCTAGTTAAACAGTTTCGTTACTTATGTCCATGGCTAATTTTGTCGAGAAAATGATCATGATTCTCCTTTTGTTATCTTGAGATATTGAAGATTGTGATAGATGTTATTGATATACAATCAACGACTGTACATCCATAATTTTGTTTGTTTAGAAATTAATCCATTCGGTGAAACACCAGACAAACGAGGTAATTATATTTAATAGTTTAATTGAAAATACATGTTTTTCTTTTCGTTTATTTAGTCATCAATTTTGATGCTAAATTAAGTTTTGATGATAGTGCAAAATTTCGTCAAAAGACTGTTTTTGATCAAGAAGATACAACTGAAAGTGATCAACGTGAAGTTGAAGCAACTAATGCTGGTTTAAATTATATTGGTTTACAAGGAAATATTGGCTGTCTTGGTAGATGACATTAGAAAAAAAAAAAAGAAATATCTAATCATACGAATTTTTTATTTTTAAAATAGTTAATGGTGCTGGTTTAGCTATGGCTACAATGGACATTATTAAATTATATGGTGGTGAACCAGCTAATTTTCTTGATGTTGGAGGTGAATAGTTTCAAAATTTCTTAATTAAAGTCTAGATCTTGTCGTCTCAGACTCTAAGAATAGATATTACGAATTCTACTTAAACTAGTTTTGTTACCTTTTCATATCGTAGTATCAGTCGGATAATAGAAACACGATAGAATCTATGAAGTTAGTCGCTGATTCGATCTCGTGAAAGACGCCATCCTCTTAATTCTCATACTGAACTCAAAGATTATGATCAAGATTGCCTAAGAAATCTGTAGAGTATATTAATAGCAATTTAGATTGAAAAAATTTCGTTGAAATTAAGACTTTGATTCAGATCTATAAATGTTGAACTGGACACACTCATAGGAAAGATATATATATATATTTGAGAGAATAAAATATTTATGTCTTTGGACTCAAATAATGTTCACAATAAATAATATTTTTTCTTTTTATTCAGGTGGTGTAAGAGAAGAACAAGTACTTGATGCTTTTAAAATTCTTTTTAATGATAATCAAGTAAATATTTTATTAAATAATATTATTTGAAAAAAAATTTGTTATATGAAAATATAAATTTTTAGGTTAAAGCTGTACTTGTCAATATATTTGGTGGTATTGTTAATTGTGCTATAATTGCAAATGGAATTGAAAAAGCTTGTAAAAAACTTGGTTTAAAAATTCCACTTGTTGTTCGTCTTCAAGGAACAAATATGGATGAAGCTCGTCGTATACTTAATCAAAGTTCATTTCCAATTACAGCTGAAAATGATTTTGAAAAAGCTGCACAAAAAGTTGTTTCATTAGTAAAAAATAGCAGCAAGTAAATGGTAAAACAGTGACTAGAATCTTTTTTCTTTCGTAGATTATTGTGTTTTTTTTTCCTTTATCTATATATTAAAGAAAAAAAATAAAATCCTGGATAACTCTCACAATTAACAAACATAAATATGTTAAATTCATTCATCCACTTTTATCATACAAGAATGCTTTTGATTTTAAAGTTTTATGATAAATATTTAATAAGTTTTTTTTTTTTTTTTCATAATAATAGAATGTTTATTCTTTATCATACTCTGATAAAGAAAAATTAATATTTTAGCTTTATTTGAATATTTTCATGATATAGTGTATTGATAGACTTCATCAATATTATAATGAGATGCATCTATATCTGGGTGTGGGTGTGGCTCAAATGAAGACACACAGTCACATCCATCCTTCGTATTAGGGTGCTGTGGAAAATGGTAATTTTCACGATTTGATTTCCATATTTCATTCTAGATAATTCAAAGTGATAAGCAGAAGAGATGACGAAAAGCTTCGATAGGACAGAATCGATTCGAATTGAGATCATTTCGTACCGCATTTATGTAGTCATTTGTGAATTTTCTGTTGCAATAATCTCGAGAAAGGTGAGTCAGAAAATAAGCAGATAGACGTTCGATTTTTAACTAATCTTTTCTTGTACGAAACTCTTCTATTTGAAATCAAAGTGAGCTATATATCTTTGTTACGCTATGAATACTAGGAGTAAAAAAAGCTAATTACAATCCTCGCAATAGAGCAGATACGTATCTAACTAAGCAAATATGTATCGTATGAAACTTAACATCGTAGATTGTCTTAAATTTCATCGTCTGTTTATATAGGACTACGACAAACTTTTTATTTCTGCTATTCATAATGTAACAAAATTATATAACTTAAGTGATATAATTTATTTTGAATTCAAACATAAGAATTTTCTACAAATCCACGCTGTTAGAACAACTTTTACCTTCTTCGATGCGTGAACAAGTCAGTGCGAGAACGTCTATTTGTGATTGAAAAATAAACAGTATGAATGCCATGCTATTTACATTGTTCTTCTCGTCAATTGACGATTAGTAAATCTTCTCTATATAAACCATAGAAATCCTAAAGTATTTCTTCAACACTAATAAGTCCTAACTCATCGTTATTGAATGATCTATAAAAACGTCTATTTGAACCAAATTCATATCTATATTAAATAAATTATTTTTCTCAATCATCTATGTCTCTTCATTATGCTTAAAATCCTCTCATGAAGAACATAAAAAAACAAGACATATTTTTCGTTCAAGCCGATCAATCGTTGTTCAAAATTCTTTGACAATAATTAGACCACACAATGCACCCAATGAATCAACATTATTAAATATTTATTTAGGTGGTATTAATTTATCATAAACTATCGCTGAACATAATCATTATAACGCGAATAAAATATCTAAAACATATCATACCACATACAAAAACAAATAATAGAATGCGACAATCATTTTCATTTTGATTCTTTTGATTGAATGATTTTTATACAAATTTAACTAGCAGTTATGCAAGATAAATTAAACATATTTCATATATGTCGTTACCCAATAGTTTAAAAGAATATAATGATTATTATCAGATGTGATCAATCCTTCAATGCTAATTTTGCTTTTATTTCAGAACTGTTTTGTTTGATGAAGTTAATTTCTTCTTACAATAGATTATTTTATACTTTTGTGTAACTTACATTGTATTTTGAAGAAAAATATAGTGAATATAAGTTTTAAATCGAGACTCCGCGGCTCTTCTGCTCCCTTATACATAGCAGCCGAGAACAACTGGCTTCAGATTTCTCTTCCAGAGTTGCTTAACAATAGAAGAAGACGCTGAACTAAGTAAGAATCGAAGTTTTCTCATACTGCATATAGATATTTATGAATTGAACTTGCAAAACAAAACTAGAAAGTGTAGGTGTAAGAATGACAAATGATTCACACCCATACCCTAATTATCGTTTTCCATATTTTTATATTCCTGACACAGGATCAAGTTTTGAAAAACGGATTTCGAATGTGTATTCATCATATTCTCACAACCTCTGTCAACTTTTTCTCATTTCGCAATGTTGATTAGATATGAAGAACAAATGACCCACTTGAGTCGTGACTAATCAGGTGTCGATGTGGAGTCTGAGTGTGGACTAGCTTCGTACACACCCATATCGACAGTCGCACTAAAACCCACATACTAGCGTCATCTGTCGAGTGAATTTCACTCTAACTGAAAACAAAGTATACAGTTTACTAAAGCATCCAATATACCATAATGTTATATCATTTATGTTTTGGAAGCTTTTGTCAAAAGAGATGTCATCCTCATAATTGTATTTCGCCATTGATTCACTTGTTTTTCACCATGCTTCATCTCGCCAGATAATGTATCACAGATGTGATGGAATAAATAGAAATACGTCCGTAGAAATGCAAGACACATATTGATTGGGACGTTATCAGTCATACTAATATGATATTTCAGTCAAAAGAAGCAACATGCTTTTCATATTGGTTGTTATTGTCGTTATTTTACTAGTCTTATTTTGCAAAGTGAAATATTTTACTCTTCGAGGTCCTCTGCCTGGATTGTCACCACATTTTTTCTTCGGAAATTTGATTCAATCTGGTTTGTTGTTTTCTGACGGAGCGCTTCCAAAAGCTTTCTCAACGTTTCAAAATCGTTTTGGTGATATCTATCAGTTTTGGTTCGGACCGTCACGTCTGATTGTAGTCAGTGGAGTCGATGATGTTCAACATATTTTTACTAATTGTCAAATTTACGATCAAGGAGAAATATTTATTCAAACATTCAGCACTCTTTTTTCTGATGGCCTCGTTTGTCTGAAAGGTTAGTCCGATCAATTTGTTGATTTGTTTCAATCATCAGGTATCATTCATAGGAGCAAAATACAAAAGACATGCTGCATACACTTTGCATTTATTTCGACGTGGTAGGATTATCTCAAATTTAGATGTCATAATCTAATGCTTGCGATTTTTGGTTGGATTGCGTTTGATTACGATTTGAAAACATTCGATGGTATCAATAATAGAAATGAATTGGGTGAAGCTTTAAAGAGCTTTTTGAGCGTCTTTGAATTCATTTCCTATATGCCAAGAGTAATAAGTCTTGTTTATTTGAAATTGAGTCGTCGACATCAACAAGCGAAGAAAACCATTGAACGATATTCGAATCGTTTTATTGATTCTGAACTAAAGCAGAGTGAAGAATGGAGAATTCAACGAAAGAGAACATCTTTGATTGCATCATTACAAAAAGACACTGAAGCTCAAGCATAGAAAATTGAAGAAGAAAAAAAAGGCAAGAAAAATGATTCTTTCTCATAGGCTTATTATGTTTTATTTTTCTCTATCGATAGGTCTATCCAGAAGTGAAGTGTTAGATGAAATACTTCTGTTTCTGGTTGCCGGTTTCGAAACTACTGCAACTGCTCTGACTTGGTTCATTCATTTGATGAGCAAAAATCCACGAATACAACATAAGATTAAAGCAGAATTGAACGATAGCAATGATCAACAACATTTATCACTTGATCGACTCGATTCACTTGTGTATTTAGATTGTGTCATTAAAGAAGTGCTTCGTTATTCTTCACCTGCCAGTATGACATTTCGAACATTGGTCGTCAATGATTGTCTGCCACAAAGTGGTGCACAATTGTTTAAAGGAGATCAAGTGCTTATTCCGTTTCATAATCTAGCACAAGATAATCGATTATGGTCTGTTGATCCTAATCTCTTTTATCCGGGAAAGATTCTTAAATGAAGACAAAAGTCATCATCCATATGCGTCAGTGTATTGGACAAGATTTGGCTAAATTTCAGTTAAAAGTAATTGCAGCAAGGTTAATGCAATTTGTGACGTTTGGTGATGGAGGTCCGGAAGTGAATTCAGGTGGACAATTGACAAATACGACCACGAAGCCTCGACATGTTGGTGTCACGATTTATTTTGATAAATAATAATAGATGAACTTTCATCACTTATCTATTGTCTTACGTAATCGCCTAAAAATATAATTCCTGACCTGATAACATTCAGTTTTTGAATCCATTTCTTTTGCATTAAAATATCCGTACAATAACAGACTTTCGTGTTTTTGTATAAAGTAATGTATTAATTCGGTGGTTCATTTGTCACTTGAATTAATTTTAATTATGATCAATTACATGCCATACATATCGCTTGTAAAACTATGATGTTCGATTTTTTCCTATTCGTTTTATCGAATCGTATTAATCTTTGTTTAATTCTTTACAAACTGCATAGAATATACAATCATATTGTCACAGAAAACATCTTTGTAAAAATAAAACAAAAAAACCTATCAAATAACATGAAAAAATAATGGACTATCGAAATATTTTTCGAGATTGAACTGTCATCATTTCAACACAACATATCAAATGATTTACGTTTTTCTGCTCTTGTCACACTTTTATATCGTTCCAATATGTGCTTGTTATTTCAAGGCAACATATAAAAGAATTCTTCGCTTCAACATACAGTTAGAAAGAGCTTTGAATAGGTATGAAACATATTTTAGTCGATGAAAAATGTGCAGACATTTGTATTAGAGCTTTTACATCATCGATTAGTTTTTATATCTTTCTTCAATAGAATTAAACTCGAAGTGTAAATAAAACTCTCAATATTGACCAATAGATGCGTGTAGAAATTGGATCATTGACATTTGTCAGAGGCAGAAAATGAATGTTGATATCAACCAAAAAAAACGTTGAAATTCAACAGAAAATCACAGGAGGATGTGAATGTGGGTGTGCTCTTCTCTTCTGCTGCATCCATACTCGCACCGGCACTCATATTCACAATTGTCCTTTAATTTTATTTTCTAGCTTAATTTTAAATAATTTATGTCGAATTACTGTGAAAAAAAAGTAATTTAATCGAAGGTATTCTCAGCTTTTTAAAAATGTATTGACGTCTTTTTATTGTTTAGAACAAGTTCATAAAACAATAAAATTAATGGTAATTATTCAGAAATATTATCCTTAGTTTTTTTTCGGATTGTTAAAAAATATATCAATAAGAAAATTCAAATAAAGATTTCCGATGTTTCTGTAAAGAATCTCTATTCAAAATGTTAATTCTCTTTCGATATTGTATACTTTTTAAAATAAAGGAACTTGAAAGCAAAAAATTTTGATACAAGTAAAAATTTTTATCGAAAAAATAAATATAGATATAGAAAATCAATAGCCAACAACCATATCAGAGAATAATAGAATTTTAACAGCCATCGATTACAGAACTAATCTTCCTTCATTTACTCGTCATTTTCTCAAATCATCTATATAAAAGCCTAAGTACGGATGATGTCCTATTCTAGAAAAATCTCCTTGATAATAAAATCTTTTGTCTAGATCTTGATTATCTTTAAACTTAGTATCTACATCTCTTGATCCTAGATCCAATTTGGGTAACTTTATAAGAATATTTAAATATTTTTCATACAATATTTTATTATCGTATACTGATGACAAGTCTTTATTAATATCATATTTTAGGGTCGTTAAGACGCAATCTCTCCTTAGGACTAAGAATGCCATTATTTAGATTCCATGTAAGTGATTTAAGCAGAATTTATTCATCTAAAAGGTGAGCCAATAGTTTCAGTACTTCGTAGAAAATTTTCTTTTTCTCCTTCACTACAAATCTAAAAAATTTGCTCAAAGTTGAACACATAATTTCTTACAACTAGATGAATATTATCCGAAATTTTCATAACTGTAGGCTTTGTTATATGGAAGATATATAAACTCGAACGTTAAAGAAAATCTTTTTTATCAGATCGGACGTCACAAAATTTAAACATCGGAGATTTATATGAAAGCAGAAGGAAAAAAGAAAAAGAAGACATCGAAATAAAAAATAAAATATTTGAAAGCATCATGTTGAATAGAATTATATTGAAGGTGTAATTAGTTACCTATAGAATTTTTATTGAAAAAAATGCCTTCAACTCTGATTGGCTGCATAGAGAATTGTATAACCCTTTCTCCGTCACTTGTTTACAAATTTTTTTCTCACGACTTTTCTTTTCCATATTCAATCTTTTGCAGTTCACTTTAGTTTCATTACTTTTATCAAGTATCAATGTCTCAAAAAAATATAAAATTTTTAGAAAAAAAGATTGTAACTATACATGATTTGCACGAAAAATGATCATCAAATGATGTGGGTGAGTATGGATATGAGTGTGAATGTCATGTTATCAAACACTCATACCGTTTGGAAAGAAAAAAGTTAATTAAGACTCCTTGAATGAATATTGCACCGGAATCGAATTGCAAGAATCGTGATTACAAGAAAAACAAACAGAACGTACCAGTTACAACATCTATAGTATTGAATCTAAGTAGTCATAAGCGAGATTGATATTCATCAAACGCATATGATCGATCAAGTGTGAAAATGATTATATGTATTTCACTTGATAAGTTATTTACTTTCAACATACGAAACAACATAGATTCACTCCAATATTGTTCGCTTTAAATTCTACATATGGTTTCATGATCTGTCAAAAGGAAGAATATGAATCTTCATTGTGTAAAAAGAATTAATTTAGATAAGCATATTTGAAGCAGAGCTCTTGAAAGAAAAAGCACACTTATTTTCATGTACATAAAAATCTCAAATCGACAAGACAGTAATCAATCGATCGGTCTTAGTTTAAGTGAAAGCAATTCTTGCAGCCAGGCACACACGTGCATTGCATTTGCACTGCGTTGACACCAAGATGAAAATTTTTCGTCAGAATAACATTTTAATGAAATCATAATCTCCATTGACTCGTTAATATATCAAATATGTCTTTCTCTCAAAAAAGTGCATGTAGTTTATTATAAAAAAAGTAATATAAAAACAATGTTTGTACTAGTTGCTGCGGAATCATCTATGGCAAAAAACTTGAATTATTGAAATGAATTTCTTGTAGTAGTATGCCTACAGTGGTTGATGTCCATTACTCTTTCATTTTCGAATTATTTATTTGAATTGAAATTCACATTGCTTGACATCTACCAATATATGCATGCATGAGAAGAAACATGAAAATGGAAACTCGATCAGTGTAATTATTTGCATCATGATTTGAAAGAATCCATTGCAATGTTTTCTTTTTCTCTTTTGAAGTGAAACACAAGGTAATAAATAAGAAAAAGAAAAATTAAATCATCGCTCGAATACAATCATCAATTGTCTGGATTTGATTTCATGCATTCATAGTTAAATTCTGCTAAAGGTATTCTATTCCAAATTTGATTTTGTCTATTTGCTGAATATATCTATCTACAGAATTGACAGTTTTGTCTGATATACAAATGTCTATTGTTACCAAATTTTCAAAACAGTCTTTAATGTCGTTGGTAAGGTTGAAAGATTTGTTGATTATACATCAAAGATTGATTTTCTTTTTTTTTGTATATAGGGCCCACATGTGTTAGATCATCAATTGAAAATGAAAACACATAAACATAATTCTCAGCGAGTTATTCATACCTTGATTGGCACTAAAAATCTAACATCGCTGAGGAATTTTGAAAATCAACTGTCTATTGTAAGAGAAATTAAAATGAGGACATTACTTGTTTTTTTTTCAATGGTCATACGATAATGTGATAATTTCGAGATACTATTCATTTACTTCAGATGTATTTGCCACGTTACGAATTCACAAGGCTGACATGATCTTCAAAGATCTCTCTTTTCTCTTATAAAAATTTATTATAATAATATACGGTTGAGTTCCATAGTTATAAGCACCGTCAATTCGATCATCTTTTATCATAAATTAGTTCAATTAAAAAATAATTTGAAATAAAAAGATATCTATCAGATTTATTTTAAAGCAACGCTATAGTAAAAGCGCTACAATAAAAAATTAATATAATAGAATGACAAAAATCAATTTCTAAAACAATTATTTGATACGAAAAAGAAACTTGAGAATATCAAAGACATTGAAATTTACCTTGCTTTTTAAACTAAAACGACAAAGAAGTTTCTCAAATTTTAACTATCATGGATGATGGAGCGTATGCATACCTTATCGATATAAGGACACATTTTGTTAGACAGACGTAATTCATAATTACAATGAGCTCCATTGTCACCGGCACCTTTACGAATATATTTTTCGTTCATAAAACAATAAACTAGATTCGTTATGATTTTATCACATCGAATTAATAAAACTAATATTAGAATTCATACTGTTTTTCGGACGATTAAAAGTACCTAATTTCCAACCAAAGTTATTAAATTATGACTTTGGATCGCTCGAAATAGAAGTTTTTCTATTTTATGAAAGCCAACACTCTCTACTGTTAACTGGTGTTGGCAGTCAGCAGCACCTGTTCATGCTGAGTCGAGTCGAATCGGCACCAAACGCAACAAACGACAACGACGACTTAAACTTGTTCATCCTGAATATTCTTCAAATATTTCTTCAAAACAATGGGGCAGTCATAATGTTTCGATAGATGAACCATACCGATCCAAAGTTTCAACTCCAAATGTCAATAAAGTATAATTCTATTTGACTTATTATTGTCTGCTTTAAAATTCACCAATATTCGTTTGAAGGTCAACTTAAACAACTATTTTGCTCAGAAAATGATGGAGAATGAAAATTCAGTAAGTATTACCAAAACAATTTATCACTCCTTATCAAACATTCGACTATCAAAGATGTATCTATTTAATAAAGATTAACGAATGGCAAAGACAAGTAACGCTACTAGCAAGTAAACCTGATCGAATGCTGACAGCGATAAGAAAAAATTCGCGAAAACCAAAACGATCAAAGTAAGATAAAATTTAATGCCGTACTTATATTGTTCGAAGTTGATGACATAAACGCTGATATGTATCTGATTAATAGAACATAGAAATTTTCAAAAGTTGATCAGAATTAAAGATGCACCAAGTGAAATGGTGAGACACTTTCTTGCTTCTTGTTCAAGATTTCAATTTCATACATCTAGATTTATTTCATCGATCAAATAATTTTCTACAAAAACTGTTATTAAAATATCTAATGATATCTTTTTCGTTTATGTAAGACTCCGACAAGAAATAGTATTGGTCTATTAAGGGTGTAAAGTATTCTTCAAAATGGCAAGAAAAACGGAGATTTTTTTTTTTGCATATAAAATTCGACAATGTAGCACTCTACCTCTCTGAATATTAGATAATTTAATTCAATGATAACAGTTTGTTTTTGTAAGATCTATTTTCTTCACTGATTCTTTCATCTAATAAATTCTGTTTAAGCATTTAAACAAGGCACAAAGCTTCGTTTTCTACAAGAAAATAGAATTAAAAAAAGACATCAATACTATCATAGTCTTAAGAATTTCAAAATTGCGTTAGTTTCCTATGACATAAAATATTTTTACGATTTGTGCTTCACATTGTTGGAACGAGAAAATAGATTAATTATGTTAGTGAAAAGCTGCTACATATTCAATAAACTTCTTCATGGGAAACACATTCTATAGATAACATGAGAAAAGATCAATGTTAGTAGTTATGCAAATGAAAAGCTCTCATAATCAATCTTCTCTGTCAAAACTTTCTTTAAAGACGGAAATGAAAGTTATATTCTTCTCCTGAAGCTAAATTTACTACGAAAATTTTCAACCAACATCTATTTTGGATCATCAGAGACGAAACAGAAAAGTCACCTAAAAATAATAGCATTGGTCTGTTTCATTGAATAGACAAGACTCAATTGTCCAAGCTGAATGATATGCTGTCAGTTGAACTCAATAGTATGTATATCTGTAAAACTATTCAGCTTAATTAGTGTGAATGTCCATGGCAGATTAAGCTATAAAATACAGACGAAGTGTTGCCATATGTCTGTTGAAGTTGTGGACATTCTGACTTTTGACCTAGTATAGGACTATGATAGATGTAAAGACATTTCTCCATAGTGATTGACATGTCAATCTTATTGTAATTGTGAAAAAGCTTTTGACGGGTGGAGGTAAAAACTGCATTGCAAAATGACGATGCAATATTTTTAGATTAGTTTGTGTCAACTATAATAACAGCATTTGAATCAATAATGATAGTTCAAAAAAAAAGCATCCGCTACTGTTTTTTTTTTATGAAAAATAGTTCTTAGTCGTTTATTACATCAGAAAAATATCGATCCAGTTGGTTGAAGTCGAATTGAAATAATTAATTTTCATTTTCAAATTCTTAATGACTGACTTGCTTTCGCAACAGGAAACTATTTTAGCTATACGAACCTAGAGCAAAGTTATACTATGTTGATCCATGAGTGAATAGACCATAAGACTGATCAGTTAAGGTTCAATAGTTTTCCATTGGTATATATGGACTATAACTAAGATAATATTCTACAATTATCTTAATAGTTCAGATTTTTAGCTAGTGAAGTCTAAGATCTCCTTAGACTCTTTGAAAATCACATAAATAATCTTAAGCTAGAGTTCAGAGTCAAACGTTCTTCATCTATCCTTGGGTAAATTCATCGAAAAGATCGACTACCCAACTATGTTCATTAGAGTAAGCCTTATTCAGTTAAATCATCGTTGATGGATTATTTCACTACAAGATTTTCCTCTCATCTACCTACGATTCTTCTTAGATTGAACAAAAATGAGTCTGATATGCTCAGATTCTTTGGAAATTTTTATGTTCTAATATTGTCTATTTTCGTTTTGTGATAAAAAACATGTAAATATTCAAGCTTCGACAAAAAATTACTGAGATTCACTTGATCTATCGGTTCGTACTCATGCTATTTTTTAGATACAGCGATTATGGTCGATGCTGTCATTGTTCACCGCTTTGCTGTCTTCTTCTTATACTCGGCATTGGCACACTGATAGCTGTTACTTGTGGATTGTTTGTAGGACTCTTTGTTCGACTTCAACAGAAGACAACAGGTTTGACGAAATGCTTTTGTCAAGAAAGTGAAATTCTCTACGACACTGAAAGATTGGAAATTTGAAAAACTGTCTTGTTCAGTTTTTTTCATTCATTGAACGATTTCTATGATCATTTTTATGAAAATCACTCATCGAAGATTATGGACTGATCTTCATTCGTTTCGTATATCATGTTTGGTAGACACTTCAAAAACATTTTTCTTTGAATACTATTTTCACGCTGAGTTTCGATTGATACAGAGTTAGATGTCACATATATTCATCATGAACTACGGATTTGTTAAGAGTAAAAGCAATCTCTGTCTGTTCTGCGATATTTCTTTTCGAGTTCGTAAAGAATAATAACGTTATAACATGTATTACATGTGCATCCATTATTTAAAAAACAGATGAAAATTACTTTATCTTTTGTTATCAAATGGCTAAAAACCTCGCAAAGATGTTTCATTCTTCTTTTGGACAAAAGACAGTGGCTCAAACAAAACTGAGTCAGATCATTCCACACATTTTAACGAAGCATCTTCATGGTGTGTAAGGACCAAGATATTCGAATTTCTAGGTATTTTCTGTAGAGATAAGGTGTTCATAATTGAAAATTACATTAGAGGGTTTTTTGGGTGTTATATGCTGATTGAATAGAGCTCCTCGAGCTACATAAGAAAAAATATGTTTTCATTACAAAAAAAAACAGTTAAAAAGGTCACGATTACCACTATTTTTCAATATAAGAAAAGATAGATTCAAAGCTTTAGTTTTTATTTAAAAAAATACTTTAAATTGAAGCATACTTTTCTTTTGCAGCTCGATGAGCTCTATCCAAGTCTCGGTCCGTGTGTTCCAAATACAGCCTATATTTTATACTCGTTAGTTTAGTAGTGAAATCTGTAGTTTCATCCGATTACGTTGACTGTTGTTAACTAACCATACAAACATTTCCATTGTTAGCCATGAACCTGTAACGGGATCATAACCATTGATAAGGTTCAAGGGTCGCACCATGTCATTGTGGCTGTCAGAATCTGCAAGGTACCCTCTAGAAACACTTTGAACCTGGTATCCACCCTCTCGGTGGCTCTCTTCTTAGCTCTACTAAAGTTAGAGGAAGATAACTACAAGGCAAAATAAATTTCAAATGTTCTACTAATCTTGCACTCTCAAGAACTATCAATAGACTTGATTAAAACAAATCATATTTATTGTGATGTTTTTTTTTCGGCTCTCTACAGCAACTACTGATCCTACGACAACAACATGTAATATAATCGTTTTGTTTGCGCATCAATTAACTTAATATGAATTTTTGTTCTCAGCTATACTGGCCAGCATTTGGACATTGACAATACCGACGAATGCTACATGGAATGAAATAGGTATAACAGTGGCTGGCAACAGTAATGGAACAAGTGCGAGTGATTTAGGTTCCCTTAAGACCCCTGTGGATATTTTCGTTGACAATAATTACACATTGTACATAGCTGATCGAGACAATAATCGCGTTGTGAAATACTATGCTAATACGACTGTCGGTATACTTGTTGGTGGTAATGAAACTAGTGGTGATGATTTAAGTCAACTGTCCGGTCCCAAAGGTATTGCTGTTGATCAGTATGGCAATGTGATTGTCGCTGATAGTGATAACTATCGTATCCAAGCTTTTGGTCCTCACTCAACCATTGCTACGACAATGTCTAGTAATAGTTCAGCTCTTTTAATTGGTCAAATGCGAGATTTACATATCAATGTAAATAATGTTATCGTTATAACTGATTCAACTTACAGCCGTATAGTCAAGTTTAATAGTTCAAGCGGAATCGGTACAATTATAGCAGGCATAAATGGAGCTGGATCAGCAGCAGATCAGTTCTCATCTCCTTTCGGAAATTTCATTGATGCGGATGAAACATTGTATGTAGCTGACAGTGGAAATCACCGTATACAAATGTGGCCGGCGGGAGCAACTAGTGGAGTTACTGTAGCTGGCGTCAATGGCTCAGTCGGATCTAGTTTAGGACAATTGAATAATCCTCTAGCGGTAATCATCGATAATAATGGGTATGTTGCTTGGAGCTACTGAATTTTGGTCGGGATGATGCTTGTATTTGAATCATATTAACTGCTAATAAGGCTCTCTTCTACTATAGAATTCATTTTCCTTTTTTTACTAAGAAACTATGAGACTATATCAGTACTTATTGTCCATGATTGTTCTAACAATGATCGAAACAGAATGCATCCGATGTAGAATCGATTCTGCAGTTATCTAGTATTCATGTTTTAAATATCATCCGTCTTGTCTTATGACTAGAATTCTGATTCGATGATCATGAATAGATAAATATTGAACCGCTATTTTTAGTTAGTTTTAAAATATACAAGAAGAAAATTGAACGCTTTTCTTGCCTTCACAGATTATGACAGACATCTCCATATGTTGTTCAATCTGATCTTCACGAAAAATAGGATCAATGTGGACGAGACACTAGCTTAGAGATCTTCGTTCATCTAACTCTATATACAGACAATGAATTTCAGTGCACTGGATTTTATGCGCAGCTCGTAATCAAAGAATCAGTATTAGTTTCAACTAAAACTTAAGGGATTTCTATCTTACATACTCATAGTCTCTAGAAAAGCAGGTCCTAGGTGCATAACGATTGTTATTTTCATTGATTTTCTGTTTACAAAATTGTCGCCTTTTTTCTTTCCAACATACGTCTAATTGTTACGAGAATTTTTTTTCCCACAAGTATCAAACAAGAAATGGAAAATATGAAAAGAAGTCTTGAATTCAGGAACAACAATTTTTGACTAGTACTGTACATGCTATTTGTGTTTGACACATGAACCTATATAAAACTGTGTGAAGAAACTTCGTTTGCAGTCGAATATTCAATCTATTCTATGGTTATGATATCTGTTTGATAGGTATATGTATATTGCTGATGCAGGAAATAATAGAATCGTGAAATGGACAACAAATTATACGGCAGGTGGCATCTGTGTTGTTGGTTGCACCGGAACTGGAGGAGTTAACGCAAATCAATTGCAAGGTCCGCGAGATCTAAAATTTGATGCTAAAGGGAATTTGTATGTGAGTGACCAAGGAAATCATCGAATACAAAAGTTTTCGATTCAAACATAAACTTCACAGCTGGTATGATAATAAAATGTTTGTTAAATCCTCAAAACTGCCCTTCTATGACGTTGTACATCTTATTTTTAGAGCTCACATATATTTTCGAACAAAATAAAGAGTGGAAATTTTATGATTACCTACTCTCCACTATGAAGGATTACAGGGACAAAGGTTAACAAACTTTAGACCTGCTATACATCAAAGTAAACAAAGCATAAAGCGTCAGTACAAAAATTTTAGAGATTGTTCGCTGTACATACTCTGTATTACTATATTTGGACAAAGAAAGATATTTTTCTAGTGCTGTAGTCTCCTTAACGATAGGCAGAACATGTCTTGAGCAAGATTACAAACTATAGAGAATAAAAGTCAATTAATACAATATAGTTAGGTTATTAAGTTTCGAATGAATCCGACTAGAGATGTCTTCAGAAATATCATTTTATTTAAACCATTGTCAATCTTGTTTTATGCAACTATAATTTCTAACTTTGTTTATTTGGTTTTTATTTTAGTGGGTTAATGATTGATAACGGCCACAACATCGATATGCATAAATTTTCTTCCATCAGAATTATTATTTTTTTTTTCAAATAAACAGTTGATTGCTCTCGATCAACAAATAAACAGAAGTTATTTTATGTTCTTTTTTTGAAAATGGAAGCTTTCAGAATTCTTCCATGTATATATGTGTGTGACGATTTTACATAGAGTAGGCACAGCTCGAGAGCTATTATCCTAATACTTTATTAGTGCAAGTAAAATCGTACGTATACTGTATTTTTCCCGCTCCTTATACAGTATCTCTTAGCATAGAAGGACCTTGAAGAATACAGTAAACACAGTAACAGAAACATACGGGTTTTAGGACAAATTCAGAGAAGAACAAAGGTTAGATTACGATTATGGTTAACACTGTGTACGAAAGAACGACACGTCGAGAATATGGTTCCAAAGTACAGGTAAGAGAGATAAGCGTAGCGGATCGAAAAGATATTGTGGTTATTCCTTTTATGGATAACACTATGTATGAGGCGAGGATACACTAAGCGTGTCATTCCAAAGTACAAATAGAAGAAGAACGAACGGGAAAGTGTATTGCGGTTATCTCTATTATGCACGAGAAAAGGACAAACTAATAATAGAAGTATGGATAGGTAACAGATAGAGAAAGGCATCGCACTTGTTTCAATCGAGGAGAAGCAACAACTCACACGTGATGCTCGGTTGTTACAATGTGTAGTCCTCTATAACTCACACTTACCTACATCCTTTTTCATTAGGACAATGTTTGTAAAATTTGCCAAAAATTATGAGAGCGAAAGTTTTTGAAATGAAAAACTTACCCACAACAATTAGTGAACACTATAAATGAAAACAGTTTCAGCTTGCTCGTTCTTTGCATGTCGGAGAAACCGGCTAAAACACGACTTCTTCTGTTGAAAATTTGATTTTGAGAAGAACACTAAACAATGTACGAGTGTATGGATATAGGTACGTGTTTTATTCTTCATTTTACTCAATATCTTGCGCTCACATCCACATTCCAAAACATATTCGAGGGTGGGCGTGGGTGTGGGTGTCATATTTTCTCCACCCATACCCACACCCACACCCGTGCCTACACCTTAACACTCACACCCACCGACACACACCCCCACCCCCACACCCACCCCCACACCCCCACACCCACACCCACACCCACACCCAGCTCAATTCAGAGAACTGGTGGTTTTTGCACCAAATTAGGTTAAAAAATCACCCATGGTGTAAATTTCTGCGAAAAAAACGCGTTCTAAAAACGCATTTTTCCATAGCTGCGAAACGCGTTAATGCTGACCGGTTTGACGCGTTTCACATCTGCTGAAACAAACGCTGTGTAACGATTGTTTTTGTGAAAAATTTCGCAGCGTTTCTCAAACTGTGGTGTCGTAAATCCTAAATGGAAAAAAAATTGAAAATCGTCAATGACTTCATAGATCTTGAATTGCAGGTACAATTTATGTATTCGTTTACATTTTTTCATAGGCCTTTAGAACTTTAACTTACATGAATTTTGATGCAGTCAAGACACGGATTCGAACACGAGAACATAGGAGTATAAGACATGTATACAAACCGTTCAACTAAAATAATCTAATGATATAAGTGTTTATTCTACTGTCATTTAGAGTCTCGCGTAAACTTACTAAATTAGATTTTCAGTTTCCATTCCACTGAATTAAAAATTATCATTTCTTTGGTGCCTATGTCCAATTACGAGTGTGGTCTTTTCTTGATACATTTTTTATTTAAACTCTTTTAGATTTAAATTTAGATACGCAATAGAAACGAATTTAATCGATTTACACTGTATTTAATATATAAAAAATTAAATTTCTTATATATAAATTTTAAAAAATTTAAAATTTAATCTTTTTTTTATTTTCTTGATTAATAGATTTTTGTAAATGTAAATCCGTCATCGTTTTATCCAATTACATCAATAAATGAAAGGAGTTTTCTTTTGTAAATCGAATCTCTTTTATTAGAAAGTCACTCTTACTTCAACAATGTACAAACTAAAATCATGTTTACTAGTATTGTACACAGTATCATTAGTTATTATCAATTAGTTCGAGTATGAACTCAAACTAATAATTATTCAAATTATAGATAACGCGATAATTCTTTTGTTCACAAATAACCAAAGAGAGTTGCTATACTAATTATATTAGTATCAGTCTTTACTAAATCTTTTCGAAATGCTCAATATTTAAAACGACCTGTCCCCGTAAAACGTGATTCCGTCACGCTTTATTTATTTTATTTCATACAAATGACTCGATCTCTAGAATCCAATGCATTTGCAATCTTGGACAAAAAATTGTGCTTGTCAAAATGAGACACTGCAAAATTGTCTGTAACTTCTCATTCATTACAAACGAGCGTGACGGAATCATCTCCCTCCGTGGACAAGTCGAAAACAATTCTTAAGTAAACCTTACGAAACACGTTTTCTTTCAATAAAAACGTGGTGAAATGAGTTTTTAAGTAAGAAGAATATATTTTTTGTTACACTTTGATGTTTTACATTAGTCTAACTTCGAATTAGGTCTAGATAACAGCCTAACAGCCTAAAAATTTCCAAGACTTTGATTTTAGTTTTGCCTTCATAAAATCCTAGGTCATGATTTTCACGTACAAAAATAGTGCAAGGAGCAAAACTTTCAAGTGCTATTTCATATCATTTCCAAAGTAATTTTAAAGAATTTACTTTGCTTAACTCCTATGCTTTGTGTTGGTGAATTTTTGCAAGATTCTGTATGCAGAATGGATGTATTTTGCATCATTCCAAGCAAAAACAATGCGACACACATTTGAAAAAGAAACGCGTTTTACGTTTCCCCCAATTTGCATTTGTGGAACGCGTCGCCTGTCGACAAAAGTGCGTTCGACAGCATTTTAATTCGGAAACGCCTCGAAACGCAATCTTGAAAAAAAGCGTTTCGGATCGTTTCAAAAAACGACTGTGGCAAAACGCATTTTATGTAAGTAAGAATGCTGCGAAACGCGTCCTATATTGCAAAAACGTTGCGAAACGCATGCTACAATCTCGGAAACGCGTTACGCAGTCCGTTTCCTTCAATATTTTACTCCATGGGCAGTTTCTTAGAGCTGAGCTGAACTTCTTGAACAGGTCCTTTGAGAAGAAATGAATTGTGTGAACAGTTCTTTGAATAAGAACTGAAGCTGAACTGTAACGCCCCTAGTAATAGCAAAAAAATTGATCAAGATCAATGAGATATTTTTCATATACATAATTTACTTTTTTCTTCATATTTTCAAAAAAAGAGCCGTATAGATTAGTTATAACAGATGAAAAGAAAAATGAAACGCTTGAATAATCATGTATTAATTGCTTATTACTTATTTTTTCTTTATTCACGTGGCAAAGT